ATCGCTGACAGCGTCTGATCTCCGTTAGAGGCCTTCATTCTTCCAACACAATCAGGGACGGCACACAAATCAGATACTTCAAGAGACCACCAATGAATCTTGATCTGCCTCTTCAGAGGACTTCTGACATTCCTCACTAAAGCTGATTGCTCAGGAATCACAACACATGAAGCTCACACACTTCAAGATTATAAACTGACATAGTTTCTATGCATACTCTTTATATAAAATAAAAAAACATGTTACAAGATTGCCGATTTTACAGTTCCTGAAGGTCAACTGATAGAGCACGGCAATGCCAAGACCATGGGTTCAGCAGCCAACTATTGAGAGGCAAAATATTGAGAGACAAATATATAAAAAACATAGAGGTTGCTTTCCATTATTGGTTTTTATTTTTACTTTATTTATTTATTAATTTTTTTTATATTTATAGTTCTGTAGTTTTAGTGCTAGCTGATATAGGATATTTTTTTTAATATTACATAAAGCACATTTAAACCTCCCGATATCAGCTAATAACAGTTAAATATAAGAATTTAAGATTAAATGTAAGATTATTCTAAGAATTAAAATAGTGAGTTACTATTAAGAATGATTTTTTTATTTCTGCTTTTTATTATTTGTTATTATTATTATTATATTTTTATATATATATATATATATATATATATATACTATGTACACAAAAGTAAATGTATTTATAAAAACAGGAGATATCAGCTAATAACAAATATAAATATGATATTTAATTGTTTTGCATTATTTTAGAAATTAAGATAATATTTTTACTAAGAATGCATTTTTTTGTTATTATTTATTTGTATATTTTATATTAATCATTATTAAATTATTTGTATATTTTGTTTTTATATTTTAGTATTTTCAGTATTGGCTGAATCTGAACATTTATTGAATAAAAAAACGAAATTATTCAATATAAAAAAATACTGGATGTTTAAATATTTAAGAATGAGATAATCATCAGCTTAAAGGGATAACTCTAAATTATAAAAAAAGATACATTTAGATGCACTATAAAATACTATAAACTGAGTATTCAAAAATTATCGGCTTATTAGCATTCTGTAATTTCAAAACTGTGCACAATTCAATATCATATTCTAAACAAACTGATCAAATCTATACCTTCAATGCAAATTGTGCTCATTTGAATAAAACGATAATTGGCATCGAATGTTATGGGCATCACAAACTGGAAGGAACTTATCAACAGAAAAAAATACAATGGTTTTTGAATGCTACTATATGCTAGAACAAATAAACCTACCGTGTAAATAGCATACTATTTGAATACAACACATCAAAAACACCCTGGTACCAGCATGTTTTTTGGCAGTACCATGGTATTCTTAGAAGTACCCTGGGATTTCAAAAGATTTCAAAGTACCAAATTATTACCATCAGCTAATGCACCATCACTGCACAACGATACAGCCACGGTACTTTCCAGTAAAGGCTGTATCAGATAGTTACATTCACAAAATCTAGTTTCAGATTTCTCTTATTCTCCTCTTTTCTCCACCTATTCTGCCCGTCTTTCTGTCAAGCATAAGGCCTCTCTCTCTCTCTCCCTCCACTCTGTTTGTTCAGTGGTCCCTCTGTACCTCTCTGCCTTTGTCAGGGCTAATGTTCTCAAATGGAGGGAAATTAAAACAGGGAAGCCATGCGTGTCGCACACTAACTCTTCCCCCTGCGGGCCGATTGGTTTGCAGCATGCATACTGATGAAGGCACATGGCTCCTAGTCTGCGCTGAACCTCAACATCTCCTTCACACCTCTGAGAGGAACCAGCCCGCTCTACACAGTCACACACATGAAATATACATGCAGAACACAGAGAGAGAGAATCTGAATTTATCGAGGTACTCATACATATGCACAAACATACACACACAAAAAACACACATCAGTATATTTATAGAGAACGTCTGCTGCACATAAAATGCCACCAACAACTTGAAGTCTGAATCTGCAAATTTAAATTTGTAAATAAAGGATGTTATTCAAAAAAAATAAAATAATGAAATGCAAAAGTTCCGATGTTTTTGCTTCCACTGGAGAACAAGATGCTTTATACAAACTTGTGAAGCAAAAGGAGGACAAATCAAATACTAAATAATTCTGAACACACATATGCTTTCTATTGCTTGGCCTTTCTCTCTTCTACCTTCTTAAACACTCACATACAAACACAAAAACACAGTACGGCCACACCGAATGTGGGGCTTCAGCGGGAGGTATGACAGTGTTGATTTGTGAGGTTTCCTGCTGCAGTGCTGTGAAGTTTGGGGACAAATCAATCTGATCCCTGCACAGACCTGTCTGCCTCTGCTATTGAAAAATGACCTCTCAGAACAGATCAACTGACATGGAGACAAGCTGTGTGTGCGTGTGTGTGTGTGTGTGTGTGTGTGTGTGTATACAGACAGAGAGGGACAGAGAGAGATAAGTTGATGTGACAATGCAAGATGTGTGGCAGCGTATGTGTCAGAACTACACAAAAAAACTTAGCCACCTTGCAGAAACCTCTTCCATTGTAGGCAGTAAAGTGCTTGTTTTTTGTATTTTTTATATGTATATTTTTTAATTTAATTTTTTTTTGCCATTTTAATATTCTTAAAATAAATACTAAAAATAGCAATTAATGTAATGTATTTTGGAATATAATAATAATAATTATTATTAATTATTAAATTAATTAAATAATAAAATTATAATATGTGTGAAAAATTAATAATAAACTAATTTTGTACAATTATGTATATATTAATAACAAACAAAAAAATCTCAAACAGAATACAAGATCACATCCTGTTCAAATGGGTATAAAAAATGGATAGCCTATATAACAAACAATATATTAAAATATATGGCTATGCAATGCTTTCAACCGACACAATAATATAATGCCTTTAAATAACTTTAATTTGCAAGTTTTCTCAGCAGATACTGATATTTGAGCAGTTCAGTTAATTTCAATAGATTCATAGCCATACTTCAAGTTAAACAACCCAAAAATTATTGGAGTACGTTTGAAAAGAAAATACTATTTTAGTCTTCCCACTTTAGAATTTCATGTTAAGCCGTTTCTTTGAAATTTAGTAGCGATTGCTGAGTAAAAATTGTTTCAAAGTCCAACACCATTTCTTTTTTTCCCCCAGTGTATTAATATTTATTGTTGCTGACTTTTAAAACCAATAAAGATGCTGAGTTTGAGAAGTGTTCCTGTTTTCCTATGGTCAACCAGGTGACCTATAACTTCACAAACATCTCTGTATTAATAATCCATGTCTTATGCTGATAAACTCTAAACTAACAGACCTTCGACCCCTTAGGCCTTACTGCTAATCGCAAACTTCGCCATAAAACTTTTTTGATTAGTCACCCGTTCAGTTCCCCTCCAGCAGCCCATGGCCGACCCTGCGGCCACACTTGTCCTCTCGGGCCGCCGGGGTCGGCCACGTTGCCCCAGAGTGGGTCCAGTCGCCCGCCTCCCTGGTGCTTGGGTAATGGGCTGGCAGGAACCCGGCTTCCTCCGAGCGCTGGAGACACTGTAAAACGTTAATGGCTCACCATGGGGATCCGCGGTTGAGCCGGGGCCCCCGAACCAACCCCATTATTCATTAGACGAGAACGTTATTTATTGCCTCCCGGCACAAACACAACAAGCCAATTAATAATTAAGCATTTCTATCCGCCTCTGTACCAGTGTGCGCAGATGAGGAGGACAGGAGATATGAGCGGCCGTGAGCAGCATAACTTCAGCACTATTAAGGAAAATGGCATTTAAGACCCAACCATTGTCTGGAGAGACTCGGAGCCAAATCCAAACGAAGCGAAGCAGAACCGTCGCTGTGGCATTTGTCCAAAATCTAGCGCTCTAAATCCTGCCTCCTGTACATTTCGTAATGGACATCAATAAATAATGTCAATATAAATCTGATGAACAGGGCCAAATCTGAGTTTTTTTATATATAAACTACAGGTCTTTCTGATTAAAAGAAAGCATTATGTGCCCCCTGCATGGGCTTTAAATGGATGGAGAGTGTAATTCATGTCCATCTCAGGAGATCTGGATGCCCAGAATAAAACTGCAAGCATCTCTGCACAGGTATTACAAGATAATTCACATGAAGTGAATTCACATGAACTTAGCAAAAGGAAAATACAGATCCACATTAGCGTTCACACTATGAGCATGTCACATTACTAGCTGAAGGTCACACAACTAGAATGCATTAGCATCCGCAATTACACCCGAATGGTAATTAATCTACACAAAACAGAGCCTAAACCTTAAATTGCAGATTATTAATCATATAATCACATGGATTCAGTCAGATTTACTGAATAGAAACGATTTATGTGCCTGTCACTATATCAAACTGGAATGATGTCTTCTTTCCTGAGTAATTCACTCCTTTATTTTATGTTGCTTCATAAAAGACTATGTTGATAAATTGGTTTATAGTGCATTTTCTGCTAAGTTTAGATTGAACTAAGCAGTAAATCAGAATTAGTGCTGAAACTTCACGCAGACCAACAATTGTGCCAAGCAGCAGCAGTACAGTTTATGAAGCTAATGCAAATAAGTTATTTCAGTTACTGAACAAAACTACAACACCGTTAAAAATCCTTCATTACAACCTGTAAAGAAAAATCCTGCAAAGCAAAATCCTGTAAAGAAAAATCCTACAAACACAATAAATGTTCAATATATGTACACATCCATTGAACTTTCTTCAACACAACCTGAAAAGTAAAACCCTGTAAAGAAAAATCCTGCAAACAAAAACTTATTCAGTAGCTATGCTGTTCGTAGCATTTACACATATATACTAATAAAGCTATGCATACTGTATCTTGTCCATCTGTTGAATTGGACATTTTACTATAGCAGACCCATGATATGCAAGTTAAGACCTTCTACCCAGCTATTTTATCAGTCTACTCTTACTGGAAGTGCATCGCCTGACCTGTATCTCCAACTCCAGTCATATTGATCGGCTGTGGGCGGGCTGGGGAGGCACGGTGGGGGTTTGGCCGAGACGTCGTCCTGATCGAGCCAAGCTCTGTCTCTGCATCACCTCGGTCAAAAGAATGCTGGATCAACTCGTTATCTGCAACAGAGTTACAGAACAACACAAAAACGATCAGAACTGATTCCGAAGATACTCCAAAAAAAAAAAGTATGAAAGCAGTGAATGTCTTAACACAGGAAAGTCCTTCCTATTAAAGGATTTTAAAAATTAATTAATACTTTCAGCAAGGAGGCATTGAATTGATCAAAAGTGAGGGTTAAGACTTATATAATATAGCAAAAGGCTTCCACTTCAAATAAATAAATAAATAATTCAGCATATTGGAATGATTTCTGAAAGGTCATGTGACACTGAAGACTGAAATCATCATGCTGAAAATTCAGCTTTGCATCACAGGAATAAATTACACATTAAAATATTTTACAACAGAAAAGAGCTATTTTAGCTTGTAATATTTCACAACATTACTGTTTTACTGTATTTTTTAACAGTATATTATAGTACAATAATTACATAAATGTGAAATATACTGAACAAAATTATAAACGCAACACTTTTATTTTTGCTCCAATTTTTCATGAGCTGAACTCAAAGATCTAAGACTTTTTCTATGTACACAAAAGGCCTATTTCTCTGAAATATTGTTCACAAATCTGTCTAAATCGGTGTTAGTGAGCACTTCTCCGGCCCCACAACCACAGACCACGTGTAACCACACCAGCCCAGGACCTCCACATCCAGCATCTTCACCTCCAAGATCGTCTGAGACCAGCCACCAGGACAGCTGCTGCAACAATCGGTTTGCATAACCAAAGAATTTCTGCACAAACTGTCTTCTGTCATCTGCATGCTGGTCTTCCTCATCAGGGTCTCGACCTGACTGCAGTTCGTCGTCGTAACCGACTTGAGTGGGCAAATGCTCACATCCGATGGCGTCTGGCACTTTGGAGAGGTGTTCTCTTCACGGATGAATCCCAGTTCTCACTGTACAGGGCAGATGGCAGACAGCGTGTATGGCGTCGTGTGGGTGAGCGGTTTGCTGATGTCAGCGTTGTGGATCGAGTGGCCCATGGTGGCGGTGGGGTAATGGTATGGGCAGGCGTATGTTATGGACAACAAACACAGGTGCATTTTATTGATGGCATTTTGAATGCACAGAGATACCTTGACGAGATCCTGAGGCCCATTGTTGTGCCATTCATCCACGACCATCACCTCGTGTTGCAGCATGATAATGCACGGCCCCATGTTGCAAGGATTTGTACACAATTCCTGGAAGCTGAAAATATCCCAGTTCTTGCATGGCCAGCATACTCACCGGACGTGTCACCCATTGAGCATGTTTGGGATGCTCTGGATCGGCGTATACGACAGCGCGTTCCAGTTCCTGCCATTATCCAGCAACTTCGCACAGCCATTGAAGATGAGTGGACCAACATTCCACAGGCCACAATCAATAACCTGATCAACTCTATGCGAAGGAGATGTGCTGCACTGCGTGAGGCAAATGGTGGTCACACCAGATACTGACTGGTTTTCGGACCCCCCAATACAGTAAAACTGCACATTTTAGAGTGGCCTTTTATTGTGGTCAGCCTAAGGCACACCTGTGCAATAATCATGCTGTCTAATCAGCATCTTGATATGTCACACCTGTGAGGTGGATGGATTATCTCGGCAAAGGAGAAGTGCTCACTAACACAGATTTAGACAGATTTGTGAACAATATTTGAGAGAAATAGGCCTTTTGTGTACATAGAAAAAGTCTTAGATCCTTGAGTTCAGCTCATGAAAAATGGGGGCAAAAACAAAAGTGTTGCGTTTATAATTTTGTTCAGTGTATAATCAATATATGACTAACTATAATTAATATTTAGATTTTATATGCATCTTTCTCCCTATTCAGCATTCAGTTTAACCCACAATAATTATGCAACTTAATTATCAAAGGCAATTTTTTGTTTCATTAAAACCATCCTTAGCTCAAAGATCTTCAGGAGCTCATGCCCCCCTCAGTTTCAAAGGACATGACGCTTCTGAAAGTAGATATTCAATTTCATGGCATATGAAGTTTACACTGATTTCAAAGTATTACCGTGGTTCATCTTTGTAAAGGTTTTTGTGTGGTGTTAGGGCAGCACTCGTCTTTTGCCTGTGTGTGTGTGTGTGTGTGCGCGTGTTGCTCATTTGAGTTTCTGCTCGATTGGTCAGCCTAATGTGGCCAGGCTCTGTCGCCCCTGGTAATTGTGCTCATTTCATTTTGGCAGCCTGCGAGGAGCCTGTCCATCACTACAAAGTATAATATATAACACTTATTCAGAAGTGTGCATGTGCTGGTGTGTGATAAAAAAATGTTTTTTAAAAAACAGAACACAAAACGTGTGTATGAAGACATAAGCATGCAATGTAAAAAAAATTTTTTTTACTCTCAGAAAGATAATAGCTTGTAACTTCACTTGCAACAGTTTCAAAGCAGCTTCAAACACTGCAGAAAGGATACAGTGATGTCATCAACCTCATCAATATCATTATGATGAAATCTTTTCATTTGCTACAAAAGAAGCATCGCTTCCCTGACTTGGAGCAAAAAGGCTGGATAATTAAGTTTTAAGACGCACCATAAATGTGTGTGAGCATGTGCATCTGTGCATATGAGAGAGTGAGTGTGTGTGTGTTGTAGCTCATCTCTCCTGGCCATATGGGGCACAGGAGACGAACCCTGCACACAGATGGCAGATCGTACAGCATTTTCTCTTCCATCTATCTCACAATCCTCTCTTTTATCTCTCTCTCGCTCACTCCTACAGAGTCAACTTTCATGCATAGACATACTCTCTCACTTTCTTTCAAACAATCAACTTTCATGCACATATTATTAAAAATACATACATGCACACACCCTATAAGACGCAATCCTATTCCTACATCCAGGATATTTGACATGAAATTTCTACTGCACTTCATCTAAAACTATTTAATACACAATTCCTAAGAAAGAATATCATTTTTGGAGTGTTGATTATGTATTATGCATGAGGGGGGTTAATCTCTCATTAATCACAGACTACATTAAATAAGTTTACATTTTTGTCACAACTTTTAAAATGTGTCACACTGCAGCACTATTAAAATGACTTTATTATGAATTTTATTTGGCTTTAAATAAATGTGGAAAATTTTTTGAAAAAAGATGGGGGAAAATTAAGGGGTAACCAGACACAAAAATTCAAACGTAGTTTTATAAATAATATATATTTCATACATATGCCAAATCCTATATATTAAATAGATTTTACATAAAATTTTATGTGCAGGAATGTGAATCTTGTCTTTACTAACTAAATAATTAAGAATCTACCTATATAAATAACTAACTACATAAATGTTAAACTTTGTCTCTTACAGGCAGAGAAAGCATTAAATGTACATGCTAGATGTCGTCACATTTTTATATAGTAGCATTTATCGCTTAGGCCTATTTAGGTAAATTACATGATTTGAGAATAATATTCACATATATATATATATATATGCCAATGTTAACAGTAAGGAAGATCTATTGATTGTGATTTGTTAATTTCTTAAATGAATCAGTCTTAGCTTACGAAGTGATTAGAAATTTTTACCTATTAGTATCATTAATTAAATTAAGACACAGATTCTGTAAGGTAAGAATAAAATAATTCCACCAACAAATCTGAACACACACACGCACATGCAAATGTCACTATATTCATTTCATAGTGGCTCATCATTTTGATGAAGTAAAAGAGAGAGGACAAAACAAGCTGTGCACAGCCGGGAGGGAGAAAAATATCACATTTTCCAGGTGATGAATTTTTCCAATTTCTCGCAGACAAGTACATAAACTCGTTCAATTAGGAGCAGAATCTGGAAATGAGGGACTGTGGACGGTTGGAGAGCCCGAGCCCTGATGGCTAATTTTATTGAGTGGAAAATTGAATCAAATTGTTTCATTGAAACAATCAGCCTGTACTCCTTATATTCCACCCAGCACAGACACAAACGCATGCATGCAAAAATAAATAAATAAAAACACCACTATACGGTTCACACTCTTTTGCCAGGCATTACTTAAATGGATCATTTGAGAGTTGAGAGCTCAAAGAGCCCAAACTTGCCCAGCCTGTCACAAAATAAAACGCATAAACATTAGATTAAATTAAAACCAACAGATTTCTGACAGTAGAGGAACCAATACTCTAGTCATTTTCATGCATGTGGAGCCGGCTCAGTCTCCGTCCTCGGTGGGACGTTAGAGCAGGTCTTCGGTGCCCTTTAACTGTAAACTGTCCATCTGTTCTACAGCGTTAAGCGTGCCAACGCTTCCATCCGATGGTCACATATCGAAGCAGACATAAGAAGAGACCTCCTTGTGATTTCACATGAATGCATTTCACCAATGAGATCACCTCTAATAATGAGAATTCACTCTGTATTAGCAATAACTTCAACAGGAGTTGGTCTGTCTAACAGACCCTGCAGAAATAACTTATTTATGTGGTCATTATATATCTTACATAATATAATAGCAGTGGAAAGAGCTAATGTATTCACCGAGCTCATGGGCCTGTATCCAAAATAAATATGCTGTGAAATTAAATATTAACCACATGAATACATTATATTTATTTAGTGCACAAACCTCTGTCTGAATTTTTTTTTATTGAGCCTTTTATCAAGGTCTTATGTAAAGTGTTTTCATTGTCTTGGCTCTAGAAATAGTCTAGAAACTAGCTTAATTAGATAGTTTCCCATAACACATTTTGTCATAGTCATTATCATAATCATTAAGGATGTTATTATTGATCATTTATAACAATTTCCACTGACTAAAGCTTATTTAACCATGTATGTGCAAGTTTTAAAATACTTCTACACTCTAAAAAAAAAAAGATGGTTCTTTAAAGGTTCTTTACATGTAGTAACAGTTCTATTTAGAACCACAGCATCCTGAAGAACCCTTTTATGCTGAAATGGCCCTTTGTGTTAGAGTTTAGGGTTCTTTGTTCCCACCTTTCTGTTTTTCAAATCTGTTACTGTCGAACCACCTCATT